CTTATTTTTCCTCAATACAAACAAAGATGCAGTGAATATCCTTGTACTTGGGGGAAATATAAACACATTTGATAAATATGTGTCAGTATTCTATCAATGCAAACAATGGAAATGTTAAATTTACATTTCTTGGTTTACTGGTAAAATTGAGCATCTTTTCATGTGGGTTACCAGCCACTTATCATCTATCTTTGATGCTCTTGCTTTCTCACAGATTGTTTATTTTTAGTAGTCAGATTTTGTTATTGTGTATGAGCTCATGTGTATTAGATAACAGAACTTTTTCTCCAGTTTTTCACTTGCCTTTGAATGCTATTTATGGTGTTCTGAGGCTGTGAAAGACTTCTTTAATTGGGAGTTAAGAGGTCCCATCCTTCCAAAACCAGGATCAAGGCCAGCAGAAAGTTTACCCCAGCACTGTATGGACCTTTTTTTCCCCCTCAGTTTTTTTACGGTATAATTGACAAATAAAAGTTGCATATACTTAAGGTGTAAAATGTGGTGACTTAATATGCTTATATATTGTAAAGTTACTATTAGGTTAATTAACACAACCATCACCTCACATACTTACCATTTCTTCAGTGTGTGGTGAGAACACTTAAACTCTTAGCAAATTTCAAGTATATAATATATTACTATTGAATATAGTCACCATGCTATATATTCAAATCCTAGAACTTAATCGTATTATAACTGAAAATAACTGATAGTTTATACTCTTTAACCAATATTTTGCCATTTCCTCCACCCCACCCCCCACTGCCAATCACCGTGCTACTCTGGGATTCAATGTGTTCAATGTTTTTGGATGCCATGAATAAGTGCGGTCATAGCTGTATTTGTGTCTGGCTTATTTCACTTAGTATAACATCCTCCAGGTTCATCTATGTTGTTGCAAATGGCAGAATTTCCTCTTTTATGGCCGAATAATACTCCACTGTATACAGATACACACACATACATATTTACATTTTCTTTATCCATTCATTTATCAGTGGACAGTTAGATTGTTTCCATATCTTGCCTATGTGAAGAACGTTGCAGTGAATATGGGAGTGTACACATCTCTTTAAGACAGTAATTTTATTTCTTTTAGCTATATACCGAGCAGTGGTATTGCTGGATTATATGGTAGTTCTATTTTTAATTCTTTGGGGAACCTCCATACTGTTTTCCATTAATGGCTGTACCAATTTACATTACCACCAGCAGTGTATAATGGTTCTCTTTACTCCATACCCTTGCCAGCACTTATCTCTTGTCTTTTTTCTAAAAGCCATCTTAACAGGTGTTAGGTGATATATTATTGTGGTTTTAATTTGCATTTTCCTGATGAATAGTGAGGTTAAACACTTTTCATATACCCAGTGGCCATTTGTATGTCTTCTTTGGAATAGTGTCTGTTTATTCAGGCCTTCTGCTTAAGTTTTTAATCAGAATTTCTTTTGCTTTTGTTTCTGCTTTTTTTTTTTTTTTTAGTTGTTGGTTACATGAATTCCTTATATATTCTGGCTATAAACCTCTTATCAGATGTATAGATTGCAAATATTTTCTCTGTTCCGTAGGCTGTCTTTTCATTTTGTCGATTGTTTCTTTTTCTGTGCAGAAGCGTTTTAGCTTGATGTAGCCCTACTTGTTTATTTTTGCTTTTATTGCTTGTGCTTTTGATATTTTCTTCTAGAAGTTTTATGATCTCAGATCATACATTTAAATCTTTAATTCATTTTGAGTTGATTTTTATATATATGGTGTAATGTAAGGATCCAGTTTCATTCTTTGGCATGTGAATATCCAGTTTTCCCACCATCATTCCTAAAGAGACTATCCTTTCCCCTTTGTGTTTTCTTGGTGCCCTTGTTAAAGGTTAGTTAACAATATAGGCATAAGTTTATTTCTGAACTGTCTAGTCTGTTCCATTGACCTGTGTATCTGATTTTATCCCAGTACAGTACTGTTTTGATTACTGAAGTTTTGTAATATAGTTTCAAATCAGGAAGTGTGTTGTCTCCAGCTTTGTCCTTCTTAACATTGCTCTTGCTATTTGGGGTCTTTTGCAGTTACATACAAATTTTAGAATTGTTTTTTACATTTCTGTAAAAAATGTCATTTGAATTTTGATAAAGATTTTATTGAATCTGTAGATTACTTTGGGTAATAAGGATATTCAAACAATACTAATTATTCCAATCCATAAACACAAGATCTCTCTATGTATTTGTGTTTTTCCGATTTTAACCAATGTCTTACAGTTTTTAGTGCAAAGATTTTTCACCTCCTTGCAATTTATTACAGAGTATTTTATTCTTTATGATGCTGTTATAAATGGGATTGTTTTCGTAATTAATTTCTTTCTTCCTTTCTTTCTTTCTTTCTTTCTTTCTTTCTTTCTTTCTTTCTTTCTTTCTTTCTTTCTTTGGATAGTTTGTTGTTAGTGTATAGAAACACAACTAATTTTGTATCCTGCAAACTTACTGAATTCATTTATTAGTTCTAAGAGTTTTTTGGTAGAGTCTTTAGGGTTTTTCACACATAAGATCATGCCGTCTGCAAATAGAGACTGTTTTATTCCTTCCTTTCTGATTTGGATGCCTTTCATTACTACTCTGGCTAAGACTTTTAGTACTTTGTTGAATAGAAGTGCTAAGAGTGAGCACCTTTGTCTTGTTCCTGATCTTAGAGGAAAAACTTTCAGCCCTTCACTATTAAGTATGATGTTATCTGTGGTCTTATCTATGTGGTCTTTATTATGTTGAAATCTATGCCTCATTCCTTCTATACCTAATTTGTTGAGGATTTTTATGACAAAAGGGGGTTGTATTTTCTCAAATGCTTTTTCTGCATCTATTGAGATAATAATATGACTTTTATCCTTTATTGTGTTAGAGTGGTATATCACATTTATTGATTAATGTATGTTGAACCAATTTATTTCAGGATAAATCCCACTTGATTGTGGTGTGTGATGTACTGTTGAATTCAGTTTGCTAGTACTTTGTTGAGGATTTTTACAACTATGTTTATCAGGATACTGTAGTGTAATTTTCTTTCTTTTTTTTAACTTTTTTTTAAATTGAAGTATAGTCAGTTTACAATGTTGTGTCAATTTCTGGTGTACAGCACAATGCTTCAGTCATCCTTGAGTGTATACCAATATTCATTTTTATATTCTTTTTCACTGTAAGCTACTACAAGATATCAAATACAGTTCCCTGTGCTATACAGTATAAACTTGTTTATTTCTTTTATATATACCAGTCAGTTTCTGCAAATCTCAAACTCCCAATTTATCCCTTCCCACCCTCTTTCCCCCTGGTAACCATGAGTTTGTTTTCTGTATCTGTGAGTCTGTTTCTGTTTTATAAACAATAGTGTCCCTACCTGGTTTTGGTATGAGAGTAATGCTGGCCTCTTAAACTGAGTTTGGAAGTATTTCCTCCTCTTCAGTATTTCAGAAGCATTTGAAAAGAACTGGTATTAATTCTTCCTTGAATGTTGGTAGAATTCATCAATGAAGTCATCTAGTCCTGAGCTTTCTTCGTTTGGGAGGTTTTTGATTAGTGGTTTAATGTCCTTTCTTGTTATAGGCCTGTTCAGATTTTCTATATCTTTATGATTTAGTTCGGTAGGTTGATTGTTTCTAGAAATTTATCCATTTCTTTTAAGTAATCCAATTTTTTGGTATATAATTAATTATTCCTAGTAGTCTCTTAGGATTCTTTGTATTTCTGTAGTTCAGTTGTAATCTGTGCTTTCATTTATAATTTTAAGTTCTTTTTTTTTTTTTTTTTGCTTAGGTTAACTAGCAAAAATTTATGTTTTATTTTTCTTTAAAAAAGCAACTGTTAGTTTCATTGATCTTTTCCATTGTTTTTTTCTAGTCTGTTTCATTTAATTTTTCCCCTCATCTTAGTTGTTCCCTTCCTTCTCCTAACTTTGACATTAGCTTGTTCTTTTTTCTTCTAGTTTCTGAAGACATAAAGTTATGTCGTTAATTTGAAATCTTTGTTTTTTCTTAATGTAGGCAGTTTTTGCTATAAATTTCTCTCTTTGAACTGCTTTTGCTACATCCCATTGTTTTGGCTTGTTGTGTTTCCATTTTCATTTGTATCAAGTTACTTTTTGACTTTGCTTTTGAGTTCTTCTTTGACCCATTGATGTTCAGGTGTGTGTTCTTTAATTTATACATACTTGTGCATATTTCAGTTTTCTCATGTTAATTTCTAATTTCATGCAATTGTGGTTGGAAAAGACACATGATGTGATTTCAATCTTAAATTTCTTAAGACTTATTTTGCAGCCCAGCATATAATCAATCTTGAAGAATGTTCCATGTGCACTTGAGAAGAATGTGTGTTCTATGCTGTTTATTTAAACCAAATCATAACAATAATTCCATTAAATGTAAATGGCCTAAACATCCCAATTAAAAAACAGGGATTATCAGGCTGGAATAACATAAAAAGAATGAACTATTGATGTATGTTTCAAAATGAATGATTTCAAAATCATTACGCTAAATGAAAAAAGACAGACACAGATCACATACTATATAATAACATTTACATAGAATTCTCAAAAAGGTAAAACAGAAAGCAGATCATTGGTTGACACGATCAGCAATGAAGGGAATTGCATATAGAGGGATAGGAGGGAGTTTTTGGGTACTGAAAATATTCTGAATTATGACTGTGGTGGTGATTACATGACTATGTTTTTAAAAACTTATTTACACGTACATTGGAAGTTTGTGAATTTTATCATATATAAATTATTTCTCAATAAAACTGATATCATCACATAACTAATTATGCATATAGGAATTTAGGTAATATGAAGATGAGTAGGAATGTTTTAAATGAACTGAATAATGTTTAGTACTGTAAAACAAAATCTTTCTACCCCAATTAAGTGATATTGAAAATGTTAGAAGTTAATATGATTTTTTTAAATGAGCTTTAATTATCTACTGTATTTTTTATGTATTTTTAAATTATTAGGTTGAACTAAAGCGACAGTATAATGACCAGCATTCAAAATTAAGAGGTCTTTTACCAGGTCGTCAATGGTATGAAATTCAAGCATATAGGGCCTTAAACCAGGCCCTAGGTAGGTGAGTGGAATGAAATTTAAGGTAACATTACTGTAATATTATCTCTGACCCAGGCTATATGGAGAGCTAGTCTTGCTACTTTATTCCTTGTAATAAATTTTATAAATTTTATTTCATTAGAACCCTAGGAACCTGGTATATTTTCAATGATGTCAGAAATGAAAGTTGAAAAGAGTGGAATAAATGAAGTAAAAAATAAGACTCAATATTTGCTAAAGTTTAAAGATTTATGATTGGTCAATGAATGTACAGCAAAAGTGCTCAGTAAATATTTGTAGAAACTCACCACCAAACAATAACAGTTTTATCTTCTGAACATAATAACCTAGATGATGATTTTATGGGTAAAAAGCAAACCATTTAAGAAACAGTCAACAAAGTGTTCATGGCACCAAAGAATTAACACCAACTAACAATAAAATTTCATTATAATATTCCTTTTTCTAAAGATTCTGGTCCATTAAGTTTTGTGCTTTGTGGAACTAGTTTTTAAATCACCATTTTAGACCATAATTTCATATTGTAGGACATAAACACTTTAAATTTATAAACACTATAATTATTGGATTTTTAATAACCTAATTTAACATTTCATGTTCTCTTTTTATGAAATATAATTAGTTTAACCATGTAATAATTTTTTTCCCGTGAAGCTGTTCAAATAAAAATCAGAAAGTTCAAATAGAAAAACATGAGTTAAAGTAACATCATGAAAACCCAGCCATTTGATACATTTTTAGTTCAGCCAGAAGGCACACAGCTCCTCGTTGTCTGCCCTAACCAATCCAGAATTTAGATTTTTCTCAAGTTTCTTGTTTACTTACATTAACTCATTTACACATAGGCAGACCAGGTTGCATTTCAGTTCAGAGTTACATGTGCTGATGACATAGGCTTCAACAGCTGGATTTAAATCCCAGAACACATCACTTACTCTCCTCCGCCTTATTTCAGAGTGGTATCCTACAGTTGTTTCTCTTCAAACTGAATGATTCAGTTCTGTGTTGAAATTGATATAGTTAAGCTGCTGCCCTTCTCTGCTTAGAAACCCCACTGGTACCTGGCATCAAATTGCACTGGAAATTGTTCTTGAGACGTTTCATCTACTTACTCTTTCTCTCCCTGTGGATTGACCTATTTTGTTTTGTTTTATTTGAATTTTAATATCCAGCAAATAGTTTGTAGGGGAGCCTGAATATTTATTTAAAATTCTTGACTTTTAGTCACTCTTAATTTAAGGAAAACAGATGTTTTTACCTCAGTTGATTATTTTTCCTCTTAATATAAGCATTGCCTTGAATTTCAAGAAACTATTTGAAGCAGAAGTACATTTGTATCCTACTTTGTCATTTATAAGCATTTTCTACATATACAAAACAGGTTGTGAGCGATAAAATTGCTTGTCTGACGTCACATAGCTACTAAATGGGCCTTCACACCTTGACTTCACCTACATTTAAAATCTTGAGGCCTGCTTTTTCATCCTTATGCCCTCCTTCTATCCACTGAAGTTCTCACTATTAAATATAAACATCTCACTGTTGACCATTAAATATACCATATCCTTTCATTACTCTCTGCCTTGGCATACAAGTTACCATGCAATTCATCTGGCAAGTTTACCAGTCAAAACCTAGTTGAAGAGGTCATGTCCTTTATGAAGACTTCATTTCTCCAACTAGAGTTATTTACTCCTTAGGGAACCCATGGCATTTTATACCTATCTCTATTATAGTATATATCTTACTGTATTGGAATAGCCTGTTTATATGTCTGTCTCCTTCCCTAAACATGAGTTACACATTTTTGATGTGTCTCATCTGGGGGCATAGTTGCACAATAAATTCTTATTGAATTAGTGAACATTGCCAGGTTCAGTGCTTTTTCCAATTATACCGTATTGGCCAGAGAGCTTCTAAAGCTTCAAAACATACTTTTCTAGGATTTCAGAAAAAGCCTATATTTATAATATTGATATATAATAGTATAGTTTCAATATTTTGTTAGTTTAGAAATGGATAGCCCAGCTGTCATACTGATTTTCAGGGAAGCAGTATCAACAAGTAGCAACTCATTACCAAGAAACAGCCACTTAAAAATCAAACGAATGTTTTACATCATTTGATAAAGCTCATAATGTGTATTGATCGACATAGAAGGTGCTCATTATACTGAGGCACTCTTCTTATAAGGGATATGTCTGGAAGGTCTAAAGTCAGCGGAAACAAATTGAGTTTAAAAAAATGTTATCTTTTTTTTTAAGCCCACATGGGACTGTTAGAGTATTTGAAGTAATATAAGTCTATGAAATGTAATAACAGCCTTCAGGAATGTACCAGATGGTTTTGTGACCAGGTTACAACTGCACTATAAGTTTCCAAACGGGTCTGCCTTACTAAAGTATAATCTTTGTCTCAAGTGGGCATAATTCATTTGAGCAAGGCAGTATGAAAACAATGGAAAAAAGAAAAGGTGAAACCTTTTTCTATGAACTGTTTTGTTAACTTAAATGCCTCTCTGCCAAAGGATATTTTAAACATAAACCAAAGTGGGACCAAAATAGAGTAGCACCCTGACTTTGCATTGATTTTCAACACTGCTCTATACTATTGGCAATATCCATCTTCCTATCCTGCCTAATTTTATGGTCTGATGTCTCAGAACCTGTGGATTACTTTAAAATATCAAAAAAGTATGTCATATAAAATTTAGATTTTTAAAGTCTGTGGAGAAATCAAACATTTATGCTAATTTTCACCCCCTCTCAAAATCCCATGAGAGTAAAGGAATAAAAATGTCAAACCTACAAAGTTAAAAAAGAGGAGACAATGACAGATGAGTTGTCAATAAATTTTGAACACTGGAAAAGAGATGAATGATTGAATGACTTAGCAGGCAAGAGAAAGCTGAAATTTAAATCTGTAGTCGTGAAAGCTAGCATGGTCCTCCAGATTCAAGCATGGAAAAGCTTAGGGCTTAGGGGCACTCTCAAGTGTCAATTAAAGTAGAGTTAAACTGAAGAAGATTGGTTGCAAGTTAGTGTAAGAAGTGACGAGACAGCCCCCTCCCCCACCTAGGTGTACTCTGTATAGAAAGAACTATAGAGCCTATCTATTCTTTAACTACAGGTACAGCTAAGGATGTATTAGTAAAGATAGCGGTAAGAAAAGTCTTCCTACTAGATGTAAGAACTCCATCCTCTTTTTCTTCTCAGCTCTGAGTAGGCAGACAATCAATCTTTTATCTTCAAGGCAGGAAAGTGCAGTGTTCCTCTTTAAGAAAACTGACCACCCCATGAATAAGGGGCTACAGATAGTAACATAGTGGTCCTGTTCCTACCAGATTACCTTACTGCAAAGCCTTCCAGCCCATAAGCCCCACCAGTGTATGCAGAGATGCCAATCAGCGTTTTAGTGCCTTACTCTTAAATAAATGCAGGGTCTTCACCGGATATTCAGAGAAAGTCTGTGACATGAAAAAGAGAACCCAAAATAATAGCAAATAAAAGCCCTAGAGAACAAAAATAGGGTGGAGAAACTTGCAGAAAACAGAAACAGGGGTTGGCAAACTTTTTCTGTAATGGTCTGCACAGTATGTATTTTATGCTTTTAGGCCACATGATCCATATTCTTTTTTCTTTTTCTTTAACCTTTAAAATGTAAATACCATTCCTAGATTGTAGGCTGCACAAAAACATGATATGGACCAGGTTTTCCCTGTGGGTTCTAGTTTGCCAACCCTTGGATAGAAGAAATTAAAAAAAATTATATTGGTAATATCCATAGGGAAGTAAGATATTACCTCCATAAAACTGGAACAGAAGATAAGAAAAAACTCCTAAACATTAACACGGTAGCAACAAATTTAAATGCAGAATTGGGCTTAGAAGATAAAATTGAAATTTCTCACATCCAAAAGTCAAAGAGAGAGAAAATGGGAAAGGAGAACCAGAAAATGAGAGAGTCTGTATGCAGGAACCAACTTCTGATAAATAGGAGATTCATCAGAAGATAATGGAGACTCATATGAAGAGATGAGAGAAGTAGAAGAAAAGAACATATCAAAGAAATAATTCAAGAAAAATGCTCAGAATTAAAGGATATAATTTCCTGATTGAAAGGGCCCACGCAAGCACCAGTAAAGGGCAGAAAGCTACAAAGCATCTCACTGTGCAGTTTCAAAGTACCTGAGATAAGAAAAGGTCCTGAACCCTTCCAGAGGGAAAAAGACAAGTCTCATACAGAGATGTGAAATCAGCATTGAAACAGACTTCTTAAAAGCAGCACTGGAAGCTAGAAGACAGATGAAAATTATCTTCAGATTTTTGAGGAAAATTTTTGACTTGCAATCTAAGTTCTAAGCAGCCCAAATGATCAATAAATAAGACAGAATAAAGCCTTCATTATGAAGGGACCCAATTCAGTACTAAAGGCCTTAAAACATTTGCTTCAAATACACACTTTCTCAGAATTCTATTGGAAGAAATTCTCCATCAATGAAGAGAACATTCAGAAAGAGGAATACCGAGGATGCAGGAAACTGAAGTTCCAATTCAGAACAATGCAAAAGAGAATTCCCAGAAGAATCAGGAAAGCAAGCTCTGGGATGACATCTGAACAGCAGCCCCATAGTAGTTAGTCTAGATTGGTTTCCAAGGATGGAAGGTTTGCCTATACTGAGAAAAATTTTTAACAGCTGTGACAAAATTTATGAATTAACTAATGATAGAAAACATAGAAAAATAAGCAAAAAAGGAGACCGTTATTAACTCCAGGGCAGACAAAAACATCTTGTACAAGAAAGGAAATGTAATCATAGTACACCGTGTGATTCATCTGTAAATGGTAATCCAGTGCATATTGACTTACATAAAAATTGTGATATAACTCGACAAAGAAAATGGAGAGGTAGTGAAGTTATCAGTGATATGAGATGAACATCTTTTATAAGAAGAGTCGATACATAATTGCTAATGCTTAAAAATCAAAAAGTAGTAGTAGTACAGATGTTATTTAGAAATATGGAGGTAAATGACCATCAAAACTATCTAAGATATTTTAAAGTAATTGTTCCTGAGGATTGGGAACTGGAGATGTGTAGATGGCTAGGTAAAAGAGAATTCTGTTTTTTATTTAAACTATTATAATACTAATTGACTTTTAAACTATGCTGTGTGTTTGATTAAAAAAATTAAAATTTACAAAGCTAAAATTCACGTTTTAAAAACAGTCTGGAGGTTTCAATTCTAGATAAGATAGAGTAAGTACATCCTGTACTGCCTTTAAAACCTAGACAGAATGCTTTGGAACCACTATTTGAGTATATGAAAAGTAAAATAGTAGTAGGCAGACTGGGGAAGAAGACCACAGTTCAAAATACCAGTGAACTGGTTGGAGTAACTATATTAATATAAAGGCAAAGTAGAGAGAAAAAAAAAAGCCTGCTGAGATTTTGATTGGGACTGTGTTGAATGTTTAGATCAATTCAGGGAGACTTGACATATTAAAAAAAAAAGACAAAGTAGAATTCAGAGCAAAGATTACAGGGGTGTTAAAAAGGAAAATTACATAATGATGAAGGATCAATTTGTCAAAAAGACATAATAATTCTAAATGTCTATGCACCTAAAAACAGAGCTTCAAAATACATGACCCCCAAACTGACATCTGAATAGAGATATAGACAATTCCCCAAGTATAGTTGGAGACTTCAAAATTCCTCCCTCAGTAATAGTTAGAAGTAGTAGACAGAAAGCCAATAAAGAGATAGAAGGCTTGAACAATGTTATTAACCATTAGATTGAATTGATATTATACAGCACTGCAGCCAACAATAGCAGAAAGAACACAAGGGACATTTACCAATATAGACTTTATCCTGGGTGATAAAAAAAATTTTTTTTAAAGATTTGAAATCATAATCAGTTGTTCTCTGACTATACTAGAAAAAAACAAACTAGAAATCAATAAAAAAAAAAACCCAAAATGTCCAAATACCTGGAAATTAAGAACATACTTCTAAAAAAAAATCCATGAGTAAAACAGGAAGTCTTAGGAAAATTAGAAATATTTTAAACTAGTCAGAAGTGAAAATCAACATATTAAAATTCTTGGGCCGCAGTTACAGCAGTGCTCAGTGGCAAATTTATATCATTAAATGTTTACTTTCAAAAGCAAGAAAGAGCTCAAATCAGTTATCTAAGCTCCTACATTAAGAAGCTAGAAGGGGTTGGGGGTATGGCTGAGTGGCAGAGTGCATGTTTAGCATGCATGAGGTCCTGGTTCTATCCCTAGTACCTCCATCAAAAACAAAAACAAAAAAACTAGAAAAAGAAGAACAAAATAAATGTAAAGCAAACAGAAAAAAAGGAAATAATAAAGGTAATAATATAAATCAATGAAATCAATGAAGCTAAAAAATAAAATATTTTTAAAAGATCAATAAAATCTAAAAACATATAGATAAATTGACAAAGAAAAAGAAGCCACAAATTACCAATATCTGAAATAAAAGAGGTGATATTACTACATATCCTGCAGACATTCAAAGGATAGTGTGGGAAAATTCTGTACACACATGTTCAGCAACTTAAGTGAAATGGACTACTTCCTGAATACCCATGAAGTACCAAACTTGCTCAAGATGAAATTGGTAACAGAATAGTCTTCTATATATTGAATAAATTTAATGTTTAGTTAAAAATTCTCTGAAAAAAATCTCCACCCAGATGGGTTCACTAGCAAATATTACCAAACATTTAAAGAAGAAATAACACCAATTCTCTTTTCTAAAAAAAAAGATAACAGATTCATTTTCTAAGGCCTACACTATCCTACCAAAACTAGATGGAGAGAATATTTTAAAAAGAAAGAAAACTACAAACTGTCATGAATATGGGTGAAAATGTTCTTAACAAAATATTAGCAAATTGAGCGAGATCCATGAAAATGACTAAGTAAAGATCATTTTCTCCTAAGTTTGAGAATAAAATAAGAATGTTCACCCTCACCACTTGTATTTAATATTGTATTAGAGGATTTAGACAGGGCAATTAGGCAAGAAAAAGAAAGAAAAGATACCCAGATTGGAAAAAGAAGTAAAATTGTCTTTAAATTTGCAAATGACATGATATGCTACATAGAAATCCTAAGGAATCCATAAAAAATTATTAGAGCTAAAACAAGTTCAGCAAGGTTATAGGATACATATTCACTATACAAATATCAATTGCATTTTTATGCGCTAGGAGTGAACAATCCAAAAATGAAATCAAGTAAATTCCATTTACAGCAGCATCAAAAAGAACAAAATGCTGAGGAACAGCTTTAAGTGAAAGGACACTCACTGAAATCTTCAAAATATTATTGAAGGAAACTTCTAAATAAATGGAAGAATTCCATGACGATGAATTGGAAGACTTATTATTGTTAAGATAGCATGTAATAATTTTAAAGTAAAACAATTAGCACATTGAATCCAATAATCTATAAAAAGGATAATGAACCATGACCATGTGTGGTTATTTTAAGAATGAAAGGCAGGCAAGCTCAATATTTGAAATTTGTCCTGTGGAATCTATCATAGGAACAATCTAAAAAGAACAATTTCATGGCTGAATCAATTGGCACCAAAACATTTTTTACAAAATTAAACATTCACTTATGACACAAACTCATTAAGCTAGAATAAAGGTCATCATAAAATCTACAGGTAATATAATACTTAAGGTATAAAAAAATAGTCTCTGAAGGAAGGTTTTAGACAGTACTTTCTATAATTTTCTTGACTTTCAAAATAGAATGCATATAACATCTTTGGATATAAGTTACTAGCAGTTGGCAAAAGGAGGGGATTTTTTTACACACCTACTTTGGTACATTTTGTTGAGTAGTTTCTAATAACCTTACTCATAATAATGACTTTGATTGAAGGATGCATCATTGATTTTCTCAGTCTTCTTACTGCCCCACTAGAAATTTGGCTTTATTTTCAGTATTATATTTATTTGGTTTTCTCCCTATCGTTTATAGGTGTATTAGACACAAAAATGACTGGGGGGCTCTTATTCTAGTGGATGATCGCTTCAGGAGTAACCCAAGTCGATATATATCTGGTAAGATTCTCAGCCGGGCCTAGATTAAGAATTAATAATCTTTGGTATTTAATGACTTCTGCTTTTAAAGACAAAGACAAAATTGGATAGAGAATTTGAATTACTAGATCAAACATAGCAAAATTCACATTGGAAATCTAGCCTTTTAATGCTTATGTGTTTACAAAAAATCTTTATAGAGGAGAATCTGGTTAGTTACCAACATAGTAATCAGTTAAGTTCCTTCAATTTCACAGGATGTGGGATTTGATTCAGTAACATAGCAGTAGTTTATTTAGCATTGTCAGGGAAAAAGGGAAAATGAATTTTCCAAGAAATAGTAAAATTTTACATTTAAGCACACAAGCAGTCCTCTGGCTACCTAGAATTGTTTTTATTCTTTCATTCTGGATTATTTGAGCTTTATTGCTGTGTTTGTTTAGAAATGCTTTGGTTGTTATAGAATTTGTATTAGTCAGAACTAGTATTTTCTAAAAAAAAAAGCACTACTACATGCTGCAAGATCAAGTAGATGGTCATGTTTTCCCACTGAAATGAACAAATTCTGTGTGCCTGTAGTTTTCATCCAGCAGTACGACAGTCTCTTTAGAATCAATACCAGGAATCTGTTATTAGTGAACTGTTGGAAATACTTGCATCTTGTTATCTTTAGAGCTAAAAAGTTCATGCCTTACTATCATGAAAAGATTCTAAGTTTTAAATTTGTTTCACATTAGCTGTCTATGGGAAGGTGCTCTACTTTGTATATTTCAGAGCCTAATTACTGTGTGTAGTTCAATATTAAAACATATCCTCCTGGATTGAAGCTGGAAATGCTGCTTTACTAGTCTTTTCTTTTCCTCTCCACGTAAAGCAAGCCACTGTGCTTAGGCCAAGATACAACCAAAAGCAAATGTTAAGTGCTCTTGTTTAGTCAGCAGGTGGAGCTCAGATTCTTCCAAGTTTTCAAAAGCAAACTGACATTTATGCTGAAAATGCTTTCTTTGATCACAAAAATGTCTAAATAAAAGTGGTAACTGTAATACCAACATTTTTCAATTTGGGAAATTTTCATATTTTTATTTGATATAATTATTTTCCCCAAGCAAACAAAAAAAAAGACCTTTTAAAAAAAATGCTTCTTTTAAATTTTTTTCTTACTTTAAAATCTAGAACTGAAATTTTTACCTAATAGTCAGGTTTCTTGAGCAATTTTTTAAACTAAATGTTTTTCATTGTTTCTGTAAGGTTTTTATTTTTTCTGAGACTCGTAAAATGTGAAATCTTATCTAGGCAATGACAGCACAACAACATACAAATTCCTTTTGATGACTCACTTTTGTTTTAATTCAATTTGATACGTATAGATTAATAGAGCAACTCCATTAAAAAAAACTAAAGGAATGTATTTGAAATGAAAGTGTAATACTTCAAGTTGCCTGAAGCCCTTCTTATCTTTCTCTCAACTTAAAACACCATAGTGACTTTTTAAACTACTTCAGAAAATGATGATAGTTTTAGTAACATCAGCAGAGAATATTTATCTTCTTAAGTCTAAATAACTGATTTTGAATTTCATTCTGAAGTGATTCATACTCTGAAACAGCTTATCCTCTTAATATGGTTCATTTTTATGCAGTTTTCATGTGTCAGGGGGTTAAATTTTGTCCCTTACAACTTGATTATTTATATTTTTAATATTAAGAAATAAATTATATAATAAATATTTAGATGGGACATGATTTTGCCCATAAAACAGTGGTATTCCTCTTTCCCCAGATTGGTTTGATATATCTGGAATTGAGGGAGAAGGGGAACAAAAAAACCCTATGAGACTGTAATCTTGAATTTATTTTTGCTGAAGGAGTCAAATTTAGAAAGTTGGAATAAAAGAGTGTGTTGTTTACAACTTCTATTTTCTCTATAATTAAAGGTAGGTGATTTTTGTGAGGAATTATGATAACATTAAATTTGCCTTATTCCCCAGTTGTTCTAAATTGACAAATAATGCACGTCTAACCCCAGTCTACTCCCAGTGCCTCTTCCCTCCCTCCACCTGACAATTAGAGCATGTAAAGAGAGATGCTACTGATACATGAGCATATTATACATACAGAGTTAAAAAAGCAGGGAAAATGTTGAGAACCATTCTATCCACTGTACATTCAAAGTCAATTACTTTACTAGAAAAGTTATCTAAGTTTTTTTCTGAGTACATAGTATTTTCGCTGAATAACCAAAATTTCTTCACTGGGTTTACTTTTTTCCTTAGGACTTTCTAAGTGGGTACGGCAACAGATTCAGCACCATTCAACCTTTGAGAGTGCACTGGAGTCCTTGGCTGAATTTTCCAAGAAGCACCAAAAGGTCACTGATGTGTCCAGAGAAGACAGAAAGTCTACAAAGGACCATGAGTCTGCAGTTCCAGTGGCTTGCTTGAAGGACAGTACCTCAACCTATTTTTTAGAAGCAGCAAGCCATCTCTCACCAGAATATCCTAGGGAAGGTAAAGCAGAATTGTGTCTAATAACTCCCATGTCCTAAAATGATAGATAAAGTCCATCTCTACCATGTGGCATCATCTCCAGAAAAGAGAAAAGTATGAAAACTTCCGCCCATTTACGTTTGGTAGAGAAGCCTGTTGTTGTATTTAGTGAAATGGTATTTGTTATGCTGTAGATTAGTGTCCTTAAATATGCTGGTTTGTAATACAAGGTGTTATCATACAATAATGAAGCAGTATGTATTGCAATGGGAACAAACTTCTGTCAGGAGACCTTTGCCTGTTTTCTGGTTTTCCACTGACAAGCTTTGCCCCTAACTAGCTGTGTGACCCCATGAACAACTCGCTTAACTTTTTGAGTCTTAATAGAAGAAGGGATATCTGCCTGCCTATCCTTCCAATTTGGGTTGTAAAGATCTAATAAGATGATAAATACCAGAGAATTGTAAAGTACTCTGCAAATAAACTCTAAAGGCTATAATAAAAATTGGCCTAATTCATAGATACTTGTCTTACATGAATTTCTTAGTTTAGGGAAGTAAGAGTCATTTATTCTAAATAATTAAAAAATAGTATTTTAAAATATATCAGAATATAATGGGTTAGAATTTAGGAAATTATAGAACATAATTTAGAAAACTAGAATATAATTTTAAAAATATTAGAATATAATGTATCATGGATTGGCAAACTGTGGCCTATGGACCAAATTTGGCCTGCTGTCTGTTTTCATAAGTACAGTTTAAGGGAGCAGAGTCACACCCAAACATTTACGTATTGTACACAACCGGAGAGTTGAGCAGTTGTATGTATTGATTAGAACAGCATAACTGAGTAGTTGCAACAGATAAAAAACAAGTCTCAAAGCCTAAAATATTTATTGTCTGGCTTGTTACAGAAAAAGTTTGCCAAACTGTGGTCTGTATTATTAGATATTATTTTAATTGTTTTAGTTAATATATACTAGTAGTTTAATATATCACTTTTTAAATATTTATTTGATAGTACATGCTTCTATCCTAAATAAATGTCATAGTGAATCCCATTATCCAGGTAACCATGAAACCTAGGTTCTAGTCCAAGTCTGATTACCAACCAGTTTTATAACTTTAGGCAAATAACTTAAGTCTTTGTGATTGTCAGTTTACTTAAGAGAATTAGTCTAGGTCAGTTTTTCTCAATCACTGGTTAGTGAATGTTTAAGACAGATTTTTACAGCCTGGTCCCTCCTTTATTGAGCTGTCTTCCTCTTCCTTTTCATCCTTCCTTTTCTTGTTCATTTCTGAGGTGCTTAGTATGGAATTTAGTAGTTTACCAGACAGCATTACAACTTGGGCTAGGAATCACTGGAGACCTAAAATTTCTTTCAGGCTTAACATGTTGTGCTTTGCATTCTAAGATGGAAGTCCTGCTACTACTGGTATGGGCTCTAAATTATGTATTCTATACAGTTATGTCAGTATTTCTAACAAATCACTTTACTACAACAATTATTATGTTAGGTACAGAAAGATAACACTCTTAAATTTTTATGTTCATAGATGATCCAGTATTATTGGAAGAATCTGCCCAGGCAACGAGAGCCGAAAAAATTGTGATTTCAAGATCCACAAGCCCAACCTTCAACAAACAAACAAACAGAGTTAGCTGGTCTGGCTTTAATTCTTTGAAACAACATCTTACTGGTAAAATTCTGACTGAAGCACCTAAGTTCAGGTCATCAGAGGATTGTGTCTCTAGTACTTCCACTTTCAAAAGAGAAAAGGGATGTAAAGCTGTTTTGCCACTCACTGATAAATGTGAATCCTCACCTCTGACAGTAAACACATCATTTGCACCATGCCCTCAGTCAGAAAGCATTGCTCCATCAATAAAGATTGATGCTTCTCTTAAAAATCATTCCAAACAGCTGCTTTGCTATGAAGAAGCCCTGGATCGGGACATTCAGTTGTCTCTAGTAAGTGAAGAAGCTGAACGTTCCACTTCAAATACAGCTGTTGAAACAGAAGCAGAGGATGAATCTATCTATTTTACACCTGAACTTTATGATCCTGTAGATACAAGTGAAGAAAAAAGTGAACTGGTTGGAACTGATAGAGACGATAGATTGGCTAATAATTCAAATTGCATTTTAGCTGAAGATCTTTTTGAAACTAGAACTATAAAAGGAGTGGATTCAGTCAGAGAAACGAGAGCTGAGGATTGCACAAAAAGTTGAATAGACTCATGCAGATTAAAGAAAGTAAAGTTGATGACATTGGTAGTAATGTAAAATCAACTCATGTAAATGAACTGAAACTGGGAAAAAGCTCTTGAAACCAATATAAAGAACTTTAAACAGTCTCCCTCCAAAAATAAAGGTGTGTTCCGTGGTATTAGGTAATAATACTTAACTGTCAAGCTATAAAAATATGTTGTCATGTTTATATTACACTGTTGTAAATGATAATTTATACATTGGATAAGTGGTATTTTTTTTAATTTGAGATATACTTTTCACTTTAATCCATTGTCATTAGAATTTTTAAAGGTCTATTTTATGTTCAGAAATGTAGGCTTTACTATTCTCAAATTTCGATAAAGTGAATCATAAAAATTATTTCCCTCCAGCATGTGTTCCTTAGCTAAATGCACTATTAAATTAATCAATCCAAAAGATATGTAGTTTCCTAAAGCACTTTAAATTTCACATAAACATTTGTATTTTGTAATACTCTTCATCTATTTGTTTTCATATTGATGCATAAAAATTAATAACAGTCTAATCCAGTCACATCTCAATCATGTTTCACTGTAGATTTCACCTCAGATTGGTCTGAGATTTTTTTTCAGAAATCACAGTTTTCTTGAAAAGTTTACTCCTGTATTAAACTTCCTACTTAGAAATAATTAAGAATTAAGGAAGAAAATTACATACATTTTTAATTGAAATGGTTTTACATTTTTGTTCATTAAGACAAAATCAGACGTGTTTTAAACAAATTTATATAAAGTTATAAAATGCCAAATGAAGGACTCCAAGTTTTCAATTCTAATTATTTAGCTTTGTCATCATCGTGGAAAACAGTGACTTGTTCTCTCATAAAGGTTTTAATTATGCAACTAACAGAAAACTTATAATTTACATTTAATAAGTAAACGCAAGCATATAACTGTAGCTGAAAAATGTTCCATTACAGCTTAGTAAGCCTTTCTGTAAAACTTGACTCTGTGTTTTTGTGAATGAAACTATATTTCTGATCAAAAATGATTATAAAAGAAGCTCTTCTCTGAAATCATTCCAAAAATATGTTCACTGATCTTTTCCAAGAAACATCTGTTATTCAATGGACATTTAGGCTTCTTGTGAGTAAATTGAATTGAAATTTTATGAGCTGTTCAAGTTGTAGATTTGGTTTATCTTTTTCAAGCCAAAATTCCCACAATCAGATTTTTTTTATATTCATTTGGAACAATGAATTATTATAAATGCATATGTTTACTTTCATTTTGTTGGTGTTTAGGTTGAATACAGCTTAATTGTTTCTATAGCATTGGATATTACAACTCTAAGCATAGTTCAAATAAATTTAAATTTTTACCAGTTAAAGTGTTTATAGATTGGGATATATTTGATCCCACCTTGTATGATATGTTTTTCTTAGGTAATCAGTAAAAAAGTTACAAACAATGGATTAGAAGGTACTTTTTAGATTGTTTTGAATGGGTGAAACCATTTCTTCTCTTTGGTATAGTTCTTAATCCACAAATAAAGGATAGTGCAGTAGTAAAAAGAATATTAGGTAGAAGACAAGAGACTGGGATCTATTCTTGGCTCTGCCACTAATTTGCTAAGTCATGTTGGCAATCACCATTCCTTTTGGGGAATTAGTTTCATCTGTTAAATGTGGAACTTAGGGCTATAAAATCATGCAAATCCCTTTCAGCTTTAAAAATCCATAATATAAAGAAATATATGTTGATATATTATTCTGAAACAATTTTCATTTGCTTTTGTTGCAGAATGCTTAAGACAAAGCAAACCATTTATAGAAAAGATAAAATTAATAATTGCATGAATATGTGCATAATAACTTGGGAAGCAAGATACTTATTTTAACAGTGCTGCAATTAAAATATTTTTGAATCCTTAAAATTGCCTTTAGAAGAATCGGTAAACTACATGAAAAAAATCAACCACATTAGTTTTTAGTCATATCTTAGTGTTATTATCCAATTTAATCCCAAATGCCATCCCTTTTCCCTAGATATACTTTATTCTTTCCAAAATCTAATTCTCTCCGAGGCTAAAAATTTCCATTACTGGTAATATACATAGAGATGTGCCACAAGCTTTTAGTAAGTCCAAGAGGTGTTTCAAAAATTTTGTACAATGGTATCACTGTTGAAACAGGTATATAGTCTCCTCAGATCACAGTTTTGACCAGGATGGCATTGCAAGATGTAAAGTACTAGCCTTTATAAAGAGTATGAGGTAGAACATTTTTATTGGTGATAACATACTTTTTAGAAAGTAAGTTAAAATGTGTAAAAGCATTTAAAGGAGTATTTGGTACATGGCAAGCCCTCAATTATTGCTTGGTAAATCAATCATATATCTGGAGTACACCCTTGCCTTATATGAAGCCTTCCCTAATGATGATAGACAGACAGACAGATAGATAGATAAACTGACAATAAAGAAGCATCGTATAGTAGGAAGGAAAAGTTATTTGGCTAGTTTACTTTTTAAGGCTTTTGAGATATATATGATAGAAATTGTTTATCACGTAATTTGCCTTACCCGTTTAATGCATATGAAATAATTATCTAATAGTGAATTTATTTAAGGGCTGAAAATACATAGAGCATACAGGCCACGAACCCGGAAAACTACCAGTTGGAGAAAGGGCTTTATTCATGGAAGAAAGGTAAAATATAAGGAGTAGATGTTTAATGACTTGACTTAAAATTCACATGCATCATTTAAAACTTATAATAATTGTGTTGGAAATTAATGACAACTCTTTATGCTACCATTATGCATTTGATAATTATATGGTTTTTAATTTGGTATTGTTTCTAAGATAAGGCTTTGTTTTTATTCTTGTATTCTCTCCATTTAAGACTTAATTTTTTAAAAGCCTTTTCCCTATTATTTTTCTGCAATATGACTTTGTCATGCTATTTTTCTATAGTAAAACACATTCCAAATATTTAATTGTTTGGAATTGCTTATAAAACTTCATGAAATCAAAATGCCTGTTGTAAAATCACTTGAAAGACTGATTATTGTAGTCATTTAATCTCTAAGTGATGGCATTTTATTTGTATTTGATACCACACAATTACTTTTGCTCATGATTGTGATAAACCTCAGCTTTATCAGTGAGCTACACAAGATTTTACTTTAAACTTTATGAATACGTGGCAGTTTCCTGCCTATTTCCATAGACAAGTGCAGTCGATCTTTTGTAAATAGAAAGGCAGTATTAATACTGAAGTTTTTCCTTAAAAAAAAATAAGTTTAAGGCTGAATCAGACAATGAATGTCTAAGGAAGCTAAAACTAAAGAAATATCTGTGCAGGAGTTAAGCATACTGTAAAGAACGTCACTTTAGGAGATGGAAATTTAGAGAGATGACCTAGGCTTATGATTCTTCAGTCTTAAATGATTTTCATGTCTACCAAAAAAAAAAAAAAAAGCATTTTGTTTCTTAAGGTTTCATTTGATAGACCATTAGCTGCCTGGCTTCCTGTACTCTACAATAGGGCCTTGTTATAATATCCATGGGATCTCAGCCAGTGGATCACCTTATTGGTGAAAAACCACCTTATAATGAAGTGCTTTCAGTGACTAAACTCTTGGACAAGATCCAAAACAACCCATCTTATACCAGATTCCACTCTGTAATAAACAAGTTTCAATGTATTTAAAGGAAAACAAAAATTGCATGAAACTTAACTATTCCCAGAAATTAATCTTTGAAAATTTAATGGTAAATACTGATTAAAAGAAATATTTGTTAACAGGGCACAGTGAGGTCGATATTTTTGTACTCTTTATAATTTGTATTTTTTTATTTTGGTCTTGCTTTTAAAAGTAGTTTATATAACTTTGATTCTCTTGTGCTTTCCCCCCAAATTTCATCATTTTTTGGTATTATTTTACATCAGTATTGACAAAACTAAATATTAAAATGTTTCTTTTGTCTCCTTGCTATTATAAAGTACTAAATTGTACAAGCGGCGTGTCATTTATGTAAACTAAGTTAGATGCCATCATCTTTTATATATGATTCATATATGGTTGAAAATATTTAGAGATATTAAATACTGATTTTTATTATTTTGGATCAAGTATTGTCTTGGTATATTTTCCCTTTTTTTCAAGCTAGTATTATGGGACTCATAGTCAGATGTCAACCATCCTTTCAGACACTGATCTCTTTTATTGTATCTGTTGTAAAAGGACCCAAGTAATCCACCTTGCCAGTCAGGACTTTATTGCTTGTGGAGCTGAATTATTACCTAAAGCAGAATGAGGTAGGAAATATAAAAAATTACTTTGTGCTATCCTTAGTATCTGCTTACCTAAATTATAGTAAGGTAGGTTGATGTATTATTGTTACCATATTTCAGTCTTTAAAGTTGATCAACTTGATGAGCTTTGTTATCATTAGACATGGAAACATGTTCCAGTTCCACCTGCTGACTTACTTTGGGCAAGTTACTTATCTTCTCTGAACTTCCGTTTTTTTTCATCTTAAAATGTTAATAAATAATTTTATAAGAAATAGATCAAACATTATGAGTATCAAATGCATACAGACTTTTTTTTTTAACATCAGGCAAGGAGAAAGATAACAAAATTTGGGGTCAAAGGAATGAATTTGAGTTTTGGTCCTGCTGTTTACTGACTGGCCTTGGTCATATTATTTCACCTCATTAAGCTTCAGCTTTATTCTCTGGGGGGACAAAAGTGAGCAACATCTACCTAAGAAAAGTATCGTGATGATTAAATGAGATGATATGCAGTATGTGAAAGTGTTTAATAAACTCTGAACCACCGTCCAAATGATAGTTGTTAGGAAACTGAAACAATAGTCTAGTACAATTGTTATCTCAGTAACCTGAAATTACACCTTCGAAAGGACTAATAAACCTGTTAGAATTTGTTTTGAGTCTTTAAAAAAAATTCTGTGCAATTGTTCTTTTACTGGCAGGACTTAGATATTCTGAAAATATATTTTCCACTTCATTTTTACATCTTAAAAAGTGTGCACATTGCAAAGCGGAAAATGCCATCAAAGGAACACTGAGATCTGTAAGGTGCGCTGAGAACATATAAGATCCACAGGACAGGGATTTTTGTTGATGGGGGAGGGCAGTGTGTGATTTGTTGCTGTGCTCCCAACATTGTATTTACTGACTAAATTGAATGGATTTTTCTGTTAATACTGTGTTTCTATCAGGACTTTATATATGGTATTTGGCCCTCACAAATGTCAAGTCATGTGACAAATTAGCCATGTGGCTAATTTCTAGACTCTAGTGATCCTTCTCTTTACAAATCTTTTATTCTTATTGCCCGAACAGCATTGAATCCTTCACACTATCTCGGTTCCTTCAGTTGTGGGCCAGAGACTGCCATTTCTCTTTCTTCTTTTCCAAAGGGTGTACTTTTACCCCTGTTACCTACAGAGTGTTGGATTTTTGTACATTCTGTTTGAGATGTTCATTAACAGTACTATTCTGACACAGTTGGATTCTAAAATATGAATTGAATTTCACATTAACTAATTGATTTGCCAAAATGACAGCTATCTTATAAACCATTTAAGCCCATTTTCACTCTGGGACAGAGTTAATTTTCCCTGCCTGTGTCCCAGTGTAATATTTATTGTATGATAGATAAGGCAGTGACTTGTGTAGAAGTCTGTCTCTCTGGCATACTGTGACCCTCCCCCGCCAAGGATATGGACAGCTTTTTGTATTTCCTGGCATTTAATCATTCATCCACTCATTCATCTTACATATTTTGAGAGCCTGCCTTGTATTATGAGCTGTGCTATGCTCTAAGGGTGCCAAAGATGAGTATAACAAAGATATATCCGCTAGGAATTCACACCCTAATTCACATACAAGTAAACACGTATGGCTCAGTGTGCTAAGAGCTGTCACAGAGGCAAGGCAGTGGCTGTTGAGGTCGATACGCATACTCTTATGCACAATTATGATCACAGTTAGAGGATCTGTACGTTAACAGCAGAATCTGTTTAACACAGGAAACATCTTGACAGATTTTCATTACATTTTTAATGGGAAAATGCTTACAATGTTGAAATATATTCTTGAGGAATTTCAGGATATGCTATTTTTCCTAAGGTTCCCATCTTCAGATCTCTTAGCCTCTCTACTGTGGATTATTGAGTGTTAACTTACCCAAAGGGAACAAAGCAAGAACATAGCAAGTACATCTGTACTGCCATGAGTATAGCGTGTAGTGCAGTGTACCATAGAGCTTTCACAACGCTTAGCTCATTCGGTTCTCAAAATAGCCTGCCAAAGTCAGCAACACAGGTGGTATTATCCTCATTTTTATAAATGAGGAAAATAAAACACTGTAACAAGACCACAATCAAGGTCATGATGCAATTTCCACCCTTTTGATGTATTTTTATACTTTTGTATTGATTTTAGTTCACCTTTGTTTCCCAGAATCTCTCTATGAAAGGAAAGCAAGTCTCACAATTGTACTTTTTTTCAAAGGGGTACTTTCTAGAATAATTTTACAGCATTTTTATAATACTAAATGAAGATACATTAACATCCACTAAAGAGTGTAAGTTTTTTGAGGGCAGAAATCATCCTAGAAAATAGTATACTGTTTGACACATAGTAAGTGCTTAGTAAATACTTTTTTACAAAAAGAAGAAATCTCCTCAGAACAACCCCAAGAGCTTAACATTGCCTTAGACAACATAGCTAATTAGTGACATTCAAGTAAGAACTAGTACCCAGATGTCATAACTTCCAATTCCAGATTCCCAGCCTGGAAAGTTGAGCACTGCTGAAGTTTGTGTAGTAGTGGGGATTGGTGCCACTACAGTGTTAGGGCTTCTAGTCTTGATTGGCTTCTCAGCATTGCTTTTCAGCTCATGTATGTTCCCTTACTAGCTCCCCCTCTCTTCCCTCACCCACCAGTAACTGGACTAAACTTACATGTTGCTTCTTTTCTCAGCCCAGTTCCTTTTCCAGTTGATATGCTTCCTCTGGATAATCTTATCCTCTTTTAAACTATAGGCTAATGATTCCTGACCCATCTTCCAGCTGACTGCTCAACATCTTGGATGTCCCATAACATCTCAAACTCAGTTTCTATAAAGCAATTATTTTCTGAAACCTGATCTTTCTGTAACAGCTGGTGGCACTATCATCCATCTGGTTCTCCAAATATTAAACTATTGAGTCATCCAAGTTTTTGAGTTGAGCAATATTCCCTACTTTCCATCTTCACAGTAATTTCATTTAATCAGACCCTCATAATCGCTTTTCTAGACTATTGTGATATTTCTTAACTAGTCACTTTGTCACCAGTCCTTCCCCTAAAGTCCCCCTTCTACTTTGTTGCTACTTAGCCAATCCAAAAAGGCAGATCTGTCCATTTCACTCACCTGTTTAAAATTCTCCTTTATACAAGATCCGTCAAAACTCTACGTGAAGACATACCAGATTTTTTGTGAATTGGTCTTTGCCAGCATCTCCAACCTCATCTTCTGCCACTTTTTGCTAACTTTATACTTAAGAATTGTTCAGACAATATTATAGGGCTACAGTAATCAAAACAGCATGATATTGGTACAAAAACAGACATATGGACCAATGGAACAGAATAGAGAGTCCAAGAATGAACCCACAAACTTTTGGTCAACTCATCTTTGATAAAGGAGGCAAGAACATACAATGGAATAAAGACAGTCTCTTCAGCAAATAGTGTTGGGAAAACTGGACAGCAGCATGTAAATCAATGAAGCTAGAACAGTCCTTTACACCATACTCAAAAATAAGCTCAAAATGGATCAAAGACAAACATAAGACAAGGTACAATATCCTCCTAGAAGAAAATATAGGCAAAACATTATCTGACATACATCTCAAAAATGTTCTCCCAGGGCAGTCTACCCAAGCAATAGAAATAAAAGCAAGAATAAACAAATGGGATCTAATGAAACTTACAAGCTTCTGCACAGCAAAGGAAACCATAAGCAAAACAAAAAGACAACCTATAGAATGGGAGAACATTTTTGCAAAAGAAGAAACTGACAAAGGCTTGATCTCCAGAATATATAAGCAGCTCATATGACTTAAAAGAAAAAAGCAAACAACCCAATCCAAAAATGGGCAGAAGACCTAAACAAGCAATTCTCCAAGCAAGAAATACAAATGATCAATAGGCACTGAAAAAAATGCTCAATATCACTAATTATCAGAGAAATGCAAATCAAAACTACAATGAGGTATCACCTCACACCAGCCAGAATGGCCGTCATTCAAAAGTCCACAAATGACAAGTGCTGGAGAGGCTGTGGAGAAAGGGGACCCTCCTACACTGCTGGTGGGAATGCAGTTTGGTGCAGCCACTGTGGAAAACAGTATTGAGAGTCCTGAAAAGACTAGGAATAGACTTACCATATGACCCAGGAATCCTGCTCCTGGGCGTGTATCCAGAAGGAACCCTACTTCAAAGTGACACCTGCACCCCAATGTTCATAGCAGCACTACTTACAATAGCCAAGACATGGAAACAGTCTAAATATCCATTGACAGATGACTGGATAAATAAGATGTTGTAT